TCCAGCAGCTTTGCTGCATTTTCTTGTTTAAATATTTTATTAGTCCTTCATTACCATGACAACTACGAGTAAGCTACTAATAATTGCGGAAATAAAATAATTACAACGCAATCCGTCATAGAAAGTGAAACCGGGAAGTCAGTCATAACAATCGATGTCGATCCATAAAACTGACGAATCAAAAACGACCACCTGTTAGAAGTACTCTCCCTTGCCAGTAGATGGCGCTGTAAGTCGCACTTCCTGGACATTCGCCGGTTTGGACAAGTAGTCAAAACATGTTGTCGGCGTGCGGCCGTGTATATGCAAACATGACCTTCTGTTTTTGCCACAGGAAACATATGCTTTTCCTTATATGCACAATTTTGACTTTAGTAACGCAATCCCTAAGTATTGGCGAGGTTATCTGGGCCGTGAACTGTGGGGGAGAAGGCCACACCGATATCAATGGTATCCGGTACGAAACAGATTCGCTTAAAGTCGGGATCTCATCTGACTATGGAAAAACATTGATGGTTTCACGGGTGGTCGCTCAGGACCAGATCTTGTACCAGACTGAGCGATATCACATGTCAACGTTTGGTTACGAAATTCCACTCAGCGGAGACGGTGAATATGTCCTTGCCCTCAAATTCTGTGAAGTTTGGTTCACATCACCAAATCAAAAAGTAATGACGTGTTTTGGAGAACACCCTTCGTTCGTGACATCACGTAAAGCAGAGACTATATATCTTTATAAGTGCTAATATCTATCAATAAACACAAGTAAAGTGTTAATAAATAGTGAATAAACTCATTTAAAAGTCAATTAACAGGAAAAAAATCCTAGACTCATTAAGTCATTATTAGATCAAAACCGTTTTATCTTATACTTTTGACGAACAAAACTGTCTACTTGCCAGTTATTTTCAAGTTAGATATTACTCAGAAGTTTGGTAAGCTGATAGTTTCGGTACATTAGCACATAAGAATGGGATGTTTTGGTACTTTTTTGTAAAGACGAGAAATGCTGAAAATTAAGCAATACACAATACTCAAAAAGCAAAGTCAGAAGTACTCCAACAATGTTAGAGGTTTGACATGCATTGTGAGATGCTATTGACAAGTGCTGTGGCAGTCGGCACAATCCTGTCCAATAAAAATAATAGCTGACCAGCGGCCTCTTGTGTTATAGGGAGTTTAAAAATTAATCCAAGTGGCGAAAACTATAAAAATTTGAACATCATATTGGAAGTACCAAAATATCTTTAATATCCAAGTACCCAAACAATATAATTTCCAAAACATCTGGAAGGTATCCAACACTTACCTCAAGGAATTTTCAGTTCTATCGGTGATACAATAACGACAGAGGGCTACAGTAATAAGATTTTGTACCATACAATATTCTGATATAAAGCTGGTTGCTGGCAAATGTAGCCTGCTATTCATCAACTGGCTGTGTTTTTTCAGAATATGTATTGGTCAACATTAAACTTGTTATTTTTTTTAAGCTTAACAACTATTTCAAAACAGAACACTGCCCATGATCTACGGTATATAATGCTGTGTTAACAGGGAGAGGTTGTAAAATTGTTTCAAGGAATTATCATCTTAAATATGACTAAACTAATACTGAAATTGTATAAGTACATGTTTAACTATTTTGTAGGTATTTGATGTCACATTGAATGGAGAACACACTGTTGTGGATGAACTGGATATTTACAGTAAAGTCGGACGGGGAGTGGCACATGACGAACTTATAGAATTCACAATTAGATCAGGGAAACTCAAAGTCAACGGCGAAACATCCAAAATCAACAGCAAACTATTAGTAGAATTTATGAAGGTATGGTTTTAGTAGAATTTATGAAGGTATGGTTTTAGGTTTGTGTTATTAAGTAATATTATCAATGGTATTCAGGAATTTTCCAGGAATAAATCTATTTGTATATGAGGGACTGTTTTTGATAAACCACCACCCAAGGGATGCTCAATTTCATCTTTAGATCTGCAGACAGGATTTAATAATATCCAGTATAACCTTGACACAAAAACTACTGCTAGCCACAAGTATTAAGTTTGTGGAATTTTGCATCCCTGCAACCTGAATGATAAACTTTCTTCGGCTCATTATGCAAATATTAAGAATTATTTTAGACCCCACACACCCTACATTATCAGCCTCCCCTCCTGGCCCCCTCCCCAGTGGCCAAGTGGTTAAGGCATCTGACCCTCTATGATCACTAGCCCTTCACCACCACTAGCCCACCATCAGTGGGTTGTGGGTTCAAGGCCTACGTGGGGCAGTTGCCAGGTACTGATGACTGCAGGTCAGTTGTTTTTCTCCGGTTTTCCTCCACCACTTAACCTTTAATGACTAGTTGTTACAAGGACATAAAGCACAAACAAAATAATACAAACTAAACCCCGCCCCCCTCCATTCATATCTTGAACAGTCCTCAGAAGAAGCAGTGGCACCATGTTATTATTAGTTTGTATTAAGTTGATAATGTAACACATCATTTAATCCGTAACTGTTTTAGTTTTACAAGAAATCTACATGATGGAAATTTTATTTTGTCCTGAGAAGCTGCCAATTTTGTGTTTTTTACAGTAATCTTTAAATTTAGTCTTTAAATATCACACGTTACATTTAGTGTGTTGTCAGTATCGGTGATAGTCTTGATTGACATTCCCATTTTACTTTGAACTAATTAATGATGACTTTTGATTAAATTTCCATGATATTGAAATGTTATAAAAATAGTAGCAAGAAGCATTGAAACTTGGTCAATACGAATGACAATGGCAATAAGAAAGTTACAAATTCAGCACGAAGTGCTAGTGTGCTTCATGGAACTTGTCAATTCCAGTTGAAATTTATTTAAGGATTGAATCCTGCTTTGGTAAATTTAATGGGGTGATGAATTGTGTTAGTCTTGAAACAAATTTAACGGCAAATGAAACGGGTAACAGTTGGTAGTTGCATCGATTAGTATAAAATCGTCCTCTTGCTATTATGTTATGTTCATTACTTGTCAGAATATTTTTTAAGGACCACTTTATAAATGTTCTGTATGATTTTATTTTTCAGGGAGATTATGATAATCCGAAAATTAATGCAATATATTTAATGAAGGGAACAATAGACGGTAGGTAATCTTCTGTGAT